GATCCTGAAATCCTGAAACCAATCAAACAAAACTCCCTACTTGAAGACTGATCTGATGCTAACTAGCGACTCACTCTATTCAGGTGGGTGGTAACCTGGGGTTCTGCTGGGAAGCCGTGACCAGTAGGGTACGGTAGGTTGAAGTTGGGGACTGTTACTCATCGAAGAAGACACTGACAAGTGGTCGCGCTATGTCGTGAATTATCAGAAGTTAGAATTCATTGGCTGGCCATTAGATAGGGTCCCAGTAGCCTAATAGTCTACGAGCTCGCTAGCTTTGTAACCACCAGGATGTCCTGGGTTCCAAACTTGACGATGGATGCGTAGCGTTGAAGAGTCCCAAAAAAGGTGAACGAAACAGCTGTCCAGTACTCTCAGGTTTTCCAATGGTTCTCTAACTGATGTCAGCTCATGATGAAACCCTCGAACCAATCAAACACAATCCCTACAAAACCAACACTTGAAGGTCATTGTATTATTTGAAGATTCTGAACAAGGAGTAAATACCTTGTAGTCACTATCGCTGAAAATTGGGTATTGTATTGTGTATAGACACCTTTTTCAAAATAGAGTTGTTTTTATTATTAAAAGTTAGGTATCAGATATAATGGCCCAAAGGATGTTACAGTTAAGCATGAAAGGCAAGTATCATTGAAGGCTTCATCTGAAATTTGCACCAAGCTTTCTTATTGGTTTTACCTCCAAAAAACGCTGTTTCTTTAATTTATTTAGGAATTTACATCAATTTTCGAATGGGTTCTCTGAAAACGTGAATATAACATTCTGACTAAGGATTACAGATAATTCATTCAATGGAAGCTGTTCGATACTGACAGTATTACGTTCTCACGAAATTCCACTTCAGTCATCAAATCTTTTCAGATTTCATCAATGTAAAGGTGGGATATTTCAGTTGATGAAGAGGGTTAACTAACTCAAAATATGTGTAGCTCAAAGGCTTAAACACTCATCTTCCAACTAAAAGGTCTTGAGCATGAATACTGCTCAGCCTGGAAATGTGGAAAGTATCCCTAATTCCAAAAACAACAACTGTATAATTCACAGCCTCGTACATGAAAGATCTGAGTCAGGTAATTGGGTTCAAACAATGTGTGAACCACGCCGTTTCTCAGTCTGGAAAAAAAATGAAGGTTAGACGCCACACTGTGGAAACGCTCCACAATTCAAGGACCGGTGGTGCCTATGGGTGAAAGGCTTCAGGAAACCAGCCTACCAGTATATCTTCTTTTGAATGCTTTAAAATCTACAGAGAACTTTTTATTAGACTGGAGAAAAACGCTTTTAATCGAAGGTGTTCCCTTAAATGTCGTTTAAGGCAATGATTTTCTTCTAGTCGTCATCACTACCAGTTGGAAACTGGTGAATGAAAATATGCATGAACCATTCAGCTACTACATCTTTTAATGGGTTTATATGAAATAATAACTAGGAAGATGGTATCCAAATATATATATATATATATTGATGAAAAGATTGTTTGATTGCATGGAGGATTTCATCATGAGCTGACATCAGTTAGAGAACCACAGGAAAACCAGCTCGGAGTACTGGACAGCTGTTTCATCCTAGTTTGGGGCTCTTCAGCACTACGCACACACCGCCGGGATTCGAACCCAGGACCTTCTGGTTACAAGGCGAGGTCGGAGACCATTGACCCGTTGGGCCCTGATCCAATGGCTAGTCAATAAATTCTAACTTCTTCCAATTCACAACATAGTGCGACCATTTCACGATGTCCTCTTTGATGAGTTACTGCCTCATTTTCGACCTGCTGTACCCTACAAAATCCTTACAAAACCAATACTAGTAAGGATTGTTCACGAAATGAATTCATTTAGAGAACCTTTGAAAGTCATCATGGATTACTGGACAGTTGTTTCCTTCTTGTGTTTCATCACTAGTGAGAAGTCATGACCAGAAGCATCGTCCACCCGTCTGGGTGTGAGTACAAATACTCGTTAATAACGCTGACTGGTGTTGACACAATATATGTCGTAAAACGGTACAAGTCACAATACATGGGTTCCATCCCTGTGGTTGAACATGCCTTGTAACCTGAAGGTCTTATATTTGGTTTCTGAAGGTGAAGTCAGTCCTATGTGCTGGTGAAGAGTCCTAAATAAGGATGAAATAGATGTCTGGTACGCACCCACCGAGATTCGAAGCCTTTGAATTGAAGACAACAAGTAAGATAAGGTTGCCTCCTACTATCATCGAGGATATTCCTGGTTGTGGCAGACCAGATTTTGCGTTAGACTGCGAATAGCGAGAACATAGGAATATATTGGACAGATAAGAAAGAATATTAAAGCAATCGGTCCCTTTGATAAATTTGAATAAGGCATTTAGAAGACAAATTTTGCTAGATGATGTTGTCATTTCGTAGTTTCTTTACAACCGCTTTACAACTAGCTATGGTTAACAATAATAATAATAAAATAAAACTCATGACAGTTACTCAGTTATATAAAACAAAAGTACATACTAATGACAAAGGTTGAAGTCTACAAAATTTGGAATTCTTGGACGATTTATGCCTGATGTCACATAAGACAACAGAGGCCAGCAATAAACGAAGACAGAACTTTAAGTGAGCATAGAGAAGACGGAGGTGATGACTGTAACCAACCAACCAACCACCACCCACCCACCAACAAACATCAATCACTACTAATGGGAGAAATTTGAAAGAGGTCACTGCACTCCCATATCTAGGCAACATCCACTCAACTATGGGTGGTGGGCAGCATAGATGAAATTTGTCAAAACCAGCCAGACCTTTGGAAATCTCCTACACTCCGCCACAGCATAAAGAACAGAATTCAAATTTTCGAAACCAGTGTTAAGAGAGAGAGAGAGTCCTTCTATATGATAATTGGGAAACTTGATGCTGGCGTCACGAACAGATGACTAGCCAGAAAGCATCATCAACAAAGCGGAGATGTGCTGTTGACGGCCCATGTTCCACTAGGAACCCAAGGGAATAATAATGATAATAATCGTAGAACTCTGAAGACTGTCAGTAGGACGAGTAGTGGTATCCCATTAGGCCATATCGTTGACACTTGATGTCATGCAACAAATTCGCTAAAGGATTCTTCTCAGACTGTGAACATCCACCGCAGTACCCGTAGCTCCAACCTTTTGTCTCCCAGGTAAACCAAGAAGTCTTTTCAGAAGACTTTACGTCCAAGTATAAAAATTCCACTATTACCATATTGGCACGTAATTTATGTAATGAAAATAGTGTTAGGCATGAACTAACTAACCTTCTTTGCACTACTAAATAAACCATTTCTTCCACCCTTACAGTACCAAACTTTATTGTTATATTGTATTTCTTATATTTATAATCCTCTCAATATTTTGTTTTTGTTTATTATTATTTTCCATAAGTGTGGACATAATTTAAGCTGTGTTAGAACTGTTTATTTTGTATTTCCTCTTACTATACTATATCAACAGAACATTAGGTTCAATAATCTATAAAATGCTAAAATTTCCAAACTGAATCGACAATACCGTTTGAAACAAACTCACTGTTATTATTATTATTATTAATATTTAATGATCTCAATTCGTGCTTCGAATATTTTTTACTTTATATCATAAACGTGGACAAATTCCTCCGGTTAATTTTGTTTATTTTTTAATATTATTTATATTTTAAGTAAATCAGACGCAATGTTCTGTCAAATGCTGAGAATTCCATTCTGTATTATAAGTACTGTTTTTGGAATAAAGCAGATTATTATTATTATTATTATTATTATTCAACAGCTGTACGACAACAGCACACGTCAAGTGATCCACAGCGGAAAACTCAGCGAGGCGTTTGCAGTAAACACAGGAGTCAGATAAGGGTGCTTATTATCACCAATGATATTCCTAATTGTGGTGGACTGGATTATGCGTCAGACAGTGTGAAACGAGAAGACAGGAATATCCTGGACCAACGTGAAGAACCTAGAAGACCTGGGTGATTTATGTTTGATGTCACAAATAATCGAAGGCTTACAAGCGAAAACCGACAAACTGGTCGAAGAAGCAGTCGGCGAAGACAGATCTCCAAGTGAATACAGACAAGACGGAGGTTATGAAAATAACCAACCACCATCAACAACAACAACAACATCCAACGTCAATCACCATAAACGGGAGGGATTTGAAAGAGGTTACTTCATTCAGTCACTCATCTAGCATTGAGCATTGTCTCAACTACAGGAGGAACGGACGAGGATGTCAAATCGAGCGAGAATCGGGAAGGCATCGAGAAACACATTCATCAACCTGAAACCAATCTGGAAAATTAATCTTTGTCACTCAGTATCAACAACAAAATCCAGTCGGGTTTTCAATACAAACGTCAAGTCAGTCAGTCAGTTCTTCTATACGGATCAGAAAGTTGGCAGGCAGGTCACAAAAATATGTACCACAGCCTGTTGCAGACGTTTATCAACCAACAACTGTCTTCACTGGATCTATACTGAAGATCAGATGGCCGGACTGGAAAGAACCACCAACAAGAAACTATGGAAACAAACAAACAAAACAAGGACAAACCAATCGCCAGCCAGCAAATATGCAGAAGAAAGTGGAGATGGATGGATTGGACACTCGCTGGCTGAGGAGGCCGCTGGGTGACATCGCGCGCGCGTCATGCCATTGCTCGAGTTGAACCAGGCCGAAAGGGAAACACGCGGCAAGCGGGTCGTCAGTGCAAGCGTGACATGGAGGAGATCGTGTGAAGGGGAGTTGGTTGAAATAGTATGAACTAACATGGATTCAGGTGAAAAGTACAGCAGAAGGAAGACAGAAGCAAGTGGAGACGTGCAGTTGAAGCTCTATGTTCCACTAGGAACCCAAGGGAACAATAATTTTTATTTTTATTATTATTATTATAGCAAAAACTTCGTTTAAGCATCAACTAACGAAAAATACCCATACAAAATTTATGCCACATGTGAATAAAAACTAACCTGAAAGTGTATAAGGATGAATAATCATCAATTTCATCGCATATATACTGTTGATGAAAAGGTGTATTTAAGCTATCTGTATTACTGACAAGTGTATTTTGTTGATTATCTAACATAATAAAAGGATTCGATTTGACATGATGATGAATAGGTATTATTGGATCTGTCGCTGACAATGGACTAGATGACGAATAAATTGATGAAATATTCAATGGAACAGGTGATGAATAGTCTGTTGGCGTTGGTGTTGTTGTAACTATGTGATTATTAATCCAGTGGTATTGTAGATGATGGTTAATATCACCAACATCAGTATCAGGATCACCATCATGAAGAAGAATTGGTACTTTCTGTTTCGCTTGCATTTGATCTTTCTCATCATCTGTGTACATTATTATTATTATGATAATACTAATAATAATTGTAATAGTAATTGTATCTTTACAAATTTAATTAATATTTTCAATTTTTAATGCACTACTTTTCGTAGTTGTTTTTAAGTTATTTACATTAATTAGGTGAAAGAATTTGCCAACTAGATATTGTTATGTAGATTGGTTGAAGAGAAGAAAAGAAAAGGGGGAGGTACGGACTATGTTCTTATTGGTTAAAATAAATATCACTCACTACCTCCTCCACTCATAGTAGTCTAACTGACTGAAATGAATGTGATATGTGGGAGAGAGCTTCTTTGTAATTGATATTCTGTGTTTTGATAGGCAGAAAAAAAGGGTGAACTTTAATAATAATATACCCCCTAAAGTATAATAGCGTAACTAGAGAGAAATAGATAGAGGGACAGAAAGATTAAGGGAAGGAGGGAGAGATACGGAGAGAGACGGAGCTGAATATGGATTGTCTACGATAAAGCTTGTTCTCTATTTCCCTCCCTCCCCCTATCTTAATATAAAACATGGCTAATTAAAAAAAAGAATTCAAATAAAACCTCTAGCTCAGAGGAGAGTCTCTTTTCGGAGAATTCATTTACCTAGCTGTATGTTTGGATGTCAGACAAGCATGATAATAATAATAACAGTAATAATAATAATAATATTTAATTTAAGGATGGTGACTAGCAGTGGAATCCAGCCAGGATGCGCACTTCGTCCCATATGCGACTCGTCATCTAGATGTACCTTCACTTCTCAGTGAGTGATGATATTCCCACCGAGACTCGAACACAGTGCCACCACCCACCAGTTAAATACTAATCAAATGCCAGACATAGTCGAAGCATCTGAACAAGAAGCCGACATGTCAACCTGAGACCGAGCACTTCGGTTCAAACAATCGACGGGAAAATCAAAAATTCAATTAGAATACTACTACTAATAATAATTTTGCTTTATTCTAAAACAGTACTCGAGATGCAGAATGGAATTCTTGGCATTTCACTACAGTATATTATATCCATTTTGTACATTAACAATAAATAAAATTCCATATAGATTACGGTAATCTCAGTTAATTTAATTTAATTTGAGATTTTCCCGTCGATTGATTGGACCGAAGTGCTCGGTCTCACTCAATGGTGCATCAGTAGTCCATCACTCACTGAGAAATGCAGGTATATCCAGATGACGAATATCAAATAGGACGAAATGCGCATCCTGGATTCCACTGCTAGTCACCATCCACCAATTAAATAGTAATCTCAGTTAGTTTTGACAACAACATATTAGCACATCGGTAGCAAAGCCAAAATTGAACAGAATGTTTGGAGGTGTTAGAAAAGTATATGCTAGCATATTTCACTGGCGTATGCGGTAACAAAAAGACTGAGATATACAGAGTGTGAAAGAACGGAGAATAATGTTTTAAATAGAGTTTGTAGGGAAGACAGAAACAAAAAAAGCGCATAACAAAAAAAAGAAAAAAGGGAGAGAAAAGGTAAAGAAAGAAAGAAAACGTTGTACCTGTAAATGATATGAGTTGGAAAGACGAGATCCAGTTGTTCTACTGGCTATTCAATAAATTATAAGTTTTTGTACTTGCTAGCGCGAGCATATAGTTTTCTACATAGGCTTCTGGTCCTGCCTGATGAGATACAAGGGGAGAGTTGTGAATGAAGAGGATGGTGGTGTGAGTTAGATAGATAAAATGGATTTAGCCCATTTTTCACATGAGTCCATGTGCTTGTCGACCAGAATATTAACAAGTTGGTTAAGTGGCACATTGCTTACCCTGCTGACAACCTTTAACATCCTGCCTAATAAGGTACAGTCCTTCTTCAGTAGCCCTGGAAAACTAAGGGGTAACAATAGAGAATAATAGGCAGGATGCAAGAGTTAAGGAAGGAATCGTAAGAGTAAGGGTTGGGTGGGTTATTCCAGAATGTCTCAACTTCTTGATGTAGAAGGTAAGGCGGAGTATGAGACGACCAGGAAGAAAAGATCAGCAAATAGAATGACGCCAAGATATTTAATTTCCGACTTAGTTTCTATTTCAGTGACATCTATGTTGCACACCTCGTGTGTCCTAACCAGTTTGTATAGGTCAGTCAGATTTATGCCTAAAGGTGAAATTGACTATTTGACATTTAAAATAAAATAAATTAGTTGGGGTGATTGTTCATGTCATCAAAATATTTAGAAATGATGTGATGAATAATCAGATTGACAAGAGAGTAGTAGTCATGATTTGTTAATCAATGCATAAGAGAACTTGAATAAGTGTATTATACTTGAAGTGAATTGTTGGAGTGGAATCCAGGATGAGCATTTCGTCCCACTTAGGACTCGTCAGCTAGCTGGATGTACTTGCATTCCTCAATGAGTGATAGTGTTCCCTGTACTGAGGCTGGAAACCAGTACTCATAGTTTCAAACTCAAGAGTGTTATTCACTAGAAAACTTGGCCACGAGAGCTACCTTCTGTACAATAGGTATCAATAATTATTGAATTCAATTTGGATTTTCACAAAAATTGAGTGGATAGAAGTGTTCAGCCTCAGGTTCACATATTAACACAATGTACAGATACTTCGACGATATCTGATTATTTAATTTGAGGTAAATCGGTGAATGGTGACTAGCAGTGGAATTCAGGATGCACATTTCGTCCTATTTGGGACTCGTCACATAGTATGACGAATAATTTATTGAATCAGTTGTAATCAGAATGGACACGGAGACGAAGGGAAATATCGACTTATGTAAGAGTTCTAAAGAAATACAAAAGTTATAAGAAGTCAGAAAAACAAATAAACAAAAATCAAGTTACAGGATTTCATCATGAGCTGACATTAGTTAGAGAGCCATTGGAAAACCTGGAAGTACTGGATAGCTGTTTCGTCCTAGTTTGGGACTCTTCAGCAGTACTTCAGCTGTCCAGTACTCGTATGTTTTCCAATGGTTCTCTAATTAATATTAGGTCATGATAAAATCCTGTAACCAGTCAAATCCCTACAAACCAACACTTGAATAACAATGAGATGCTCACTGGTGACTGGTCCTATTCAGGTAGGTAGTTACCTGGGGTTCTAGTGAGAATTCGTGACCAGCGGGGTGCAGCAGGTCGGGTGTGAGGACAAATACTAGCCAAAGACATTCGCTAGGGGTTGCGCTATATGGTGAATTGGTAGAAGTTAAAATTCATGAACTGGCTGGCCATTGGTTCGGGTCTCAGTCGTTTGATGGTATACGAGCTCGCCTTGTAATCAGAAGGTCGTGGGTTCGAACCCCACTGTGGTGTGGATTCATACTAATGAAGAGTCCCAAACTAGCCTGACAAAACAGTTGCCCAGTACTCTCATTTCTTCCGGTTTTTCTCTAACCAATGTCAGCTCATGATGAAACCCTGTAACCAATCTCTACAAACCAACACTTTAAAAATCAAGTTAGTAGAAATCAGCAAGATGGTTACCATGACAGTAGAAGTGGTTGAATAATTCTTTTTTTCTATTTGAATGACTAGAGCTTCAGCAACACAGAAAGGAGACAAAAGCGTATTGCCTTTGGCACGTTATTCTTCGCTTTGTAGATTAATTTGAAGGAGGCCTTTATTAAGATGGAATGACCAGTGTTAACAAATTACCTGCCAAATTTTGTAAGAGAGGAATTAGTGGGTTTTTATTTAATAGTCTTGGAGGATAAATTGAAATTTAATAATCACACTCCATGTCCTTTTCAGAAGACTACACACTTCACAATTAGAAACAAGGGATAAACAACAAAGTTGGCAAAGTGAAATGATTGTATGGAGGATTTCATCATGAGCTGACATTGGTTAGAGAACCATTGGAAAACCAACTGGGAGTACTGTACAGCTGTTTCGTCCCAGTTCGGAACTCTTCATCTCTACGCACCCACCACAGGGTTTAGAACCCAAAACCGGGTGGTAGACCATTAAGCCATTAAGACTGGATCCAACAGCCGATCCATCAATTTCAACTTCTGCCAATTCACGACGTAGCGCGACCATTTCTCAATGTCTTCTTCGATGAGTTACTGCCTCATCTTCGACCTGCTGTACCCTACAGTTCACGGCTTCCCACTAAAACCCCAGGTTAACTGCCTGAATAGGGGCTAGTTTTTCCAGTGGTTCTTTAACTGATGTCAGCTCATAGTGAAATCCTCCATACAATCAAACAAAATCTCTACAAAACCAATACCTGAAAAGTGAAATGAACTAATTTCGCAATAAAAATTTTCATTACTTGAAAACAAGAGAAAAATTGAGTAAATGAAAACAGAGGAGAGGAAATTTACTGGCTGTAGGTTGTTTCTGTAATCAGGAAGAAAGTTCAAGTAATATAAAAGATAAGTTATGAGATCTGTAATTAATAAATTAGAAGTCGCATAGTAGAAGTAGTGAGTGAAGCCCAACGGGGTGAGTGAGACAAATTCTACTAAGCCACAGGAAACGCAACTGCATAACAAAAGTCACATTAGAGTAAGCTTCTGTTGACCTGAGTTATTATTATCCCCTTGGGTTCTAAGTGGAAAATAGAGTTTCAGCAACACGTCTCCACTCTGTTGTATTCTCTGTTGTCCTCTTCAACTGGGTCCACGACTGCACGTACTCTCCTATCTCCTCCTCGCCACACAATCCCCTCCATATCACCCTCACACCGAAAACCTACTCGTCGCTCCCCATTGAAGTTCCAGTTGAGCACTGGCCTGGCGCGCGATGTCATCCGAGGGCCTTCTCACTGCTGTATTACCCGATCTATCTCCGATTCCTCCTACATATTGGTTGAGCAATAAGCTCTTAGTCGGTTTGTTGCCAGAGTTTCTTGTTGCTAATTCTTTCTGGTCTGCCATTCGATCTTCATCATGGAGCCAAACAACGAAGACAACTGTAGATGAAAGTCTGAAACCTGTTGGAAATCCTAAGCGTGACGCTTATACAAAGTTTCTGACATGTATAGCAGGACTGACTGACTGACTTTA